TGTTTTTCTTGTTATGAGATCTCCTCTGCAACCATAAAAGAAAGCGACAAATTTATTTTTTCCAAATTGCTCGTTATATCCTCAGGATGTTAGGTTTTATTTAGACCGAAGCTTTACAAAGACTCCATATGAGAGTTATTTCCCCTTTTGTATTTGATAAATGTGAAATGTATTTGTAACTGGAAAACCATAAGTGATAGAGGCCTAGGGCCTTTTGATTTGAGGTCCTTAGTCCATAAAAATGAAAATAAGGTCAAGGTCAAAGGTCAAGGTCATGTTAAAAATTTTGATTTTGGCTTGTTATCACTAATTTCAGAAATCTTATAAGTTATCAACAAATTTTTTTTACAGAATTGTTAGTTGCGACATGTCGTAACAGGTAAATTTGAGTTGAAAGGGTACGGAGACATTTAATGGGAGTTTTCTCCCTTTTTATATTAAAAATTACATGTATGGTGATATAACTCATTCATCTTATATAATTGAGACCTAGGGTCTTTTGATTTGAGGCCCTTGTTTCATGACCTTTAAATTAGGGTCAAGGTCAAAGTTTTATTTGACGTTCTATTTTTTTTTTTTTTCTTCCGCCTAATTTTTTTCTTGCGGTGTATTTTTGTTTCAAAAGATGTCGCTTAGTTTTTTGGTATATGATATCATACAGTCTATACGCTTTTGAAACTGACCCTGTTTAACCGAACACTTTTCTTTGTAAGAGTTATCTCCCCAAACACTGTTTTTCTTGTTATGAGATCTCCTCCGCAACCATAAAAGAAAGCGACAAATTTATTTTTCCAAATTGCTCGTTATATCCTCAGGATGTTAGGTTTTATTTAGACCAAAGCTTTACGAAGAGTCCATATGAGAGTTATTTCCCCTTTTGTATTTGATAAATGTGAAATGTATTTGTAACTGGAAAACCATAAGTGATAGAGGCCTAGGGTCTTTTGATTTGAGGTCCTTGGTCCATAAAAATGAAAATGAGGTCAAGGTCAAAGGTCAAGGTCATGTTAAAAACTTTTGATTTTGGCTTGTTATCACTAATTTTCAGAAATCTTATAAGATATCGACAAATTTTTTTACAGAATTGTTAGTTGCGACATGTCGTAACACGTAAATTTGAGTTGAAAGGGTATGGAGACATTTAATGGGAGTTTTCTCCCCTATCATATTCAAAATTACACGTATGGTGATATAACTCATTCATCATATATAATTGAGACCTAGGGTATTGTGATTTGAAGCCCTTGTTTCATGATCTTGAAATTGGGGTCAAGGTCAAAGGTTGATTCGACGTTCTATATTTTGACCTTTGCTTTTACCTCATATATGTACATGATAAAGCCATGGGACTTTTTGCATTAGGTTGCAAGCCATTTGACCTTGAAAAAGCCAACCGGAAGTGACCTTTTGTAAACCGGAAGTAGCTATTTATTGTACTAAATTAATGTAAAAGTATATAGAACGATATATTTTTGGAATCAGTGTCAAGTAAACTATCAAACAATACCGGAATGACATTTTTTAAACCGGAAGTCAAAAATTATCTCCCTTATTTATCTTTTTTTTATAGAAACCATATATTTTTGGAATAAGCGTACATTAAGCTGTCATTTGACGCTGGAATTGACATTTAAAACCTAATTTTAATGTTTTTCATATCAAAATAGATCCTTACTGGTGGAAAGACCTTCAATTGTTTATTTATATTAAATAAATTTGTGCAAATTAACTTCAGTTTTTCTTTTTAACCATATTAAGTAAATTTTGTTTTTAATAAAAAGTTATGGATTTATTTTTTTTATATTTTGTTGTAATAATCCGCGCAAACATAATGACTTTTCAACAGGTAAATTTCGCGCAAACGTAATGCGTTTTGTCGCGCAAACGTGGACTTTTTTCGCGCAAACGTTGGACGAATTCGCGCAAACGTTGGACGAATTCGCGCAAACGTAACGCACCGCATACATTACATTCATAAAAAGGTAAACAATGGTAATTTGGAACTTTGGAAGAAATAATATTGATTTTTGAGAGCAGAATAAATGGTTCTTATATGTATAGGAAATGATCAGAATAATCATAATGCACAGCAAATGATAACATGGGTGTCAATTAAAAGAAGACCGTGTATTCAACAAAATTCGTAGTTTTTTTATTAGGCACATATTTCACAAAACCGCGTAATGAATATTTCGATAATGAGAGATTCATAAATGTATACATTTCTAATTACAGTTGATGACTGTCCACAAAGATTCGATCCTGGACTTGATCCTTACAGAAAGCTAACAATTATCTACATACTAAACAAAGCCAAAGGTAAACAATGGTAATTTTGGAACATTGGAAGAAATAATATTAATTTTTGAGGGCAGAATTAATGGTTCTTATATTTATAGGAAATGATCAGAATAATCATAATACACAGCCAATGTTAAACATGAATGTCAATTAAAAGAAGACCGTGTATTCAACAAAATTCGTTGTTTTTTTATTAGGCACATATTTCACAAAACCGCGTAATGAATATTTCGATAATGAGAGGTTCATAAATGTATACATTTCTAACTACAGTTGATGACTGTCCACAAAGATTCGATCCTGGTCTTGATCCTTACAGGAAGCTAACAATTATCTACATACTAAACAAAGCCAATGGTTCAACTCCTTCATACTGTGTATTACTTTTAACCATGTTTGCAATACTCTTTACAGTAAAATAAAACCAAACGGTCCAAACTATGGACAACAGATGAATATACTTTATTTAAGATACGACTTCCGATTGATGCATTTATTACAATAGAACACAGCACTGAAAATTTAAAGTTTGACGTTTAAATGTACCATGTTATATTAAGCAAGTTATTAATGTTTTCAATAAAACATGTATGATTGATTATGGAGGCGACTTTGATTTTGGATGTTGAGAACAAATAATATTCTTGTGCAGTGAAATACTGCGAAAAAAATGTTCAGTGGTACCTTCAGTGAATGGTGTGAGTTGCTTTAATCTGTTTTTCTACACTTGAGATTTTTCAGGAAATCGTAGTTTGATTTTAACTTGTTTAAGCATCAAATCTATGTATAAAGTGCAAATTTTCTTGTTTTATACATATATATATATATATTTCAATTCATCTAATTAATGGTCTAACTGTGTTGCAATACCGTATCATCTCATCATGAATATACACTTACCTCGCATTATTCTGAGATAGAGAAAGAGAGATAAAGAGAGATTGTGATTTTAGAAGTATGTTTTAACGCGTTAAAGGTTAAAACGTACGATGTCAAATTGTATACGGTATTATTGTGCCTCTAATGACACGAATGGCCCCTCCCTTTTACCTTTCATATTTGTTGAAGCTTTAAATGTTGTAATATTTTATTGTATATTGTTAACCATGCACAATTCATTTTAAATATAATGTAACTATGAGGATAAAATATGGTAATTTTGAGAACAATATTTATACATGATATGTTTGTGTTACCTCCAATCCTTGACTTTTGAAACATTTCCAAAATATGACAGTGACAAAAGGTCAATGAAAGCATCAAAATAATAGTACTTTTCCATTTTTCCTATCATTTGTAGCGTTGAGTATGTTCCCGTTTTTTATAAAAAAAAATTCTTTCAATTTAGACACGAGTAAGAAGCTTAAAACATTAGTGATGTCTTGGTTTGCTTTTTTAATAACAATAAGAACATCGTAAACTAATAAGTCAACATTAGCTGTTATGTGTTGAATAAATCCTCCAAGAATAATCATATTAAGGTGGCTCGGGTGTCTTCCTCCATCTTGGATTTCGAAGTAGCAGATAACGTTGGTCTAGATATTTCATGAAATGTGCAAATTTTGAGAGTAGTATGTAATTTATTTTAAAGACTTTTGATGTAAATATAGAAAATTGTGTGTTATATCATAATTACGGCTGTAATTTCTCAAAAACACCTTATTTGTGTTTGATTAGATTTTTTTCAACTATGCCAAATAAGGGGAGATAACTCAGATAAAGTAATTTTTATAATAGAAAGTGTTGTGAATTAACCTATTTTCATATGTAGCAAGAAAACAAGTTCGGTGACCCCATTTTTTCTTTTTCTTATCTGAAAGCATCTTATAAGAGCTATCTTCTCACATTTTATCTTAAAGTTCTATCAAGTAGTTTTCTTTTTATTACACAAAATTTGATTTTCCATGCATAATCTATACAAAATCTGACAATTTTGCACAACATCTAGCGTGAAAAAAAGTTCGGTGACCCATACTTTTTGTTATATTTTTGAAAAAAGCATGATAAAAACTTCATTTTGACAAATTATCAAAAAATTCTATCAATTTTAATTAAGACGCCCTAGCCACCTTAACAAGCCCTAATAAAACTTTATGCTCGTCATTAAATCAACACTTTAGATATATAAAAAAAGTATTTATCACGATAGCACTGTATTAAGAATTAAAAGTTTGTATATTTAAATATTCGTTGCTGTATCTAGTAAGCAATACAATATTTATGATTGAGTATTGATCCAATTATGATTTTAGATGTTGAAAACATGTACCATTCTCGAGAGAGAGAGAGAGCTTTATAATTCAACGTACTCATTACATTCTGTATGTCGAAAGTACAAATGTTCCATTTCATTGTATATTTTATGAAATTTTGATTAATTCATTATATAATAATAAGAATAAAGTACTAGTATATTTTGTCTATTACCTTAAACCCGTGGAACGTGAAAAACGTGTCCTAAATATAGCAGTGAAATAATTGTAAAGTAAAACTTTAAAAAAAAATTATTTGTTCTATGATATAAATTTGGCTGTGTTTGCATTTAACAGGGTTATTATTGACTTTTCCATTCAATTTGTTTTATATATGGTTATAATTAAGCACATCTGTAATTTCTCAATCTCAAATTTGAATAACAATACAAATATTTTAGTTCATATACTAATAAATCAACATTAGTTGTTATGTATTAAAAAAAATCTGATCTCTTCGAACAATAATCTATTTACAAGTTTCCATACAGTACGGTCGTCAAAGAATTAATACTTGCGATCTAGCATAAAAAAAAAATTCTGGTATGTGTCACAAAAAAATCTGGCTTTCATCTCAGATTTTTAATTAAGTCTTTGTTTTTGTCCCTGTTTCTACTTTTGACTGTGTATATGGAATTAAGGCCATGAATGTCTCCTTATCTCTTGGTCCAAAAAATGTAAGGGACAAACCTCCATTGTAGTCAAAGCATTCTGACTGGTCTGAAATTGGAAAACAAAAATTATTACAATATTTTTAAACTGCAACTGAAAGTATTAAGCGTTCCATGTCGCTTTACGCTTTACAATGTATGTTTAGGACATGAATATAAAATAACAAAACATTTCAAAGGAACTTCTTCAAATATTATATAGCATAAATCATAATGTTAAGTCCTCGTGTGTGGTTCCTGTGGATTGTTAAAGAAATATAAACACATCAAGTTTCTAGAAACTAACACTTTGTACTTTAAATCGAACTCTTACTCTCACTTGTGTGGTAGTGCATTAGACATGCCTGTCTTTGAAAATGGTATGTATTTAATTCAAAGTTGAAACTTGTTTTAATTGTTGTTGAGAGGCATAGATGGTTCGAACAGAAATTAACTGGCATTACAATCGGAGGCTTGGCTCTATGAAACATTTGTTAGCCAAAACTTTTTATTGTAGAAAGCATATACCAAGTTAGGGCTATGTCGATCATTGTGGTATTATTGCTTTACTAATACATGTGTTTCGAATGGCCATTTGATAGGTATTATGGAGTTAGTGCTTTTCTGAATTGATCCTTACACTACGTTCTTTTATGTATCGTTTGTGTTATGATAGAAATAAGAGGGGAGTCGAGTGGTTAAAACTAGTTAACCTCCGAAAGCGCCAGCAGCTACTCCTAAACTAATGACGACTATTAAAATACCTTGATGAGTAAAATACGGCGACTAGGCATCATTCAAAAGCAGATTGTGAAATTTGTCTTGTTTGGTCTTAAGACATCAATTAATTCATTAACCAGCTGAATTCATAAATTCTATAACTCTCAAACCTAACCGAACGTGAAAATTTAAAACGAAAACATGGTTATATACGACAAAGGATTAAAATGACTGTTACCTATTGAAACAACACAGACATTGAAAAAAATATTTACAACATCAAAAAACTAAGGAAAAAACAACAGGGTCCCCTTTTAAACAAAAACTGAGGGTGACCTCATACGGATGGGTAAGCATTACCTGCCCCACAAGTGTTCCCCGTCGCGTTGTTCATTGCAAGAAAAATGTGGGGATAAATCTTTTTCAGTGATGTTAATATCGAACAATAGAGGGCGGAATTGTAGTCTTTTGCTGAAGATATTATGTTGTCAAGTTGTTCTTAATAATGTATACCGGACTTTTATAATTCATACTTGCTATTTCTTTTATTAAGTTTATATTTTGATTTTGCTGCATTTATTGTTATACATTTTGATCAAAATCGATGCTTCAATTTCTTGTCTTATCAACTCTTGATTAAGGATCATATTTCTAGATCTTAACCATGTCAAAGCCAAAAAATTGACAATAAAAAAAATAATGAAATAAAATAAGACTAGGAAGATACAGTATGTAGAATGACTGTTAAATCGTCTTTCCCAAAAGCATACCTTTCTTACTAGGAAGATTGATTTCCCTAGATCCTGAACGGGAAGTTATCCGTGCCTTTTTTACAACTGGATCATGAACATATCCCACACAAAATGTGAACTTCCCATTTTCTTCTGGAACAACCACTTTCAATGTCCGTTCTGGATAGTTCCAATATATCGTACCTTCTGTGCAATTGGATGGCAGAACAACTCTTTGTACACTGTAAATAATAAAAGTGTTAAGAATCTGAACACTTCTTGAACGCCCTTTGTAACACTGTTCTAAATATTAACATTAGTGTTCAGATTTTTAACATCTTGTGTGCATCTTTCGAACACTATGTGAACTTCTTGAACAAATAAAAAGTGTATACTCCTGAACGCCTAGTGTTTCATTCTGGAACATGTCCTGTGTTCCAGAAATATGTGTTAATATCATGAACACTGTCCTGTGTTCCAGAAATATGTGTTAATATCCTGAACACATAGATTGTAATACTGGAACACATTTTTACATGCTCCAGAAAAAAAGTCTTCCATTCTCTGACATTTTTGTGGTCAAGTAAAAATAACAATTGAATAATTAAAAAAATCTTTAATAGACTAAAAGGGCATAATTCAAAAAAGGACAATATAATGAGAAACATTTCAAAATAACAAGTTAGACAAGTTAGAAAGATAACATTCGAAATAACATTATAATTAAACGGTCAAAATGTGTCCAAATTTATTTATAGTGCAGATTCTCTACCTTGCCTCATCCATCTCTGGTGTTTTAATAATGTAAAAGTATCGTCACATCAAAAGTGATTATTTTGCAAGAAAGTCTACTGGAATAAGAAACAATAATAATTGGCTTTTCTTCTGTCAATAAAATTGAGAATGGAAATGGGGAATGTGTCAAAGAGACAACAACCCGACCATAAAGCAGACAACAGCCGAAGGCAACCAATTGGTCTTCAATGCAGCGAGAATTCCCGCACCCGGAGGCGTCCTTCAGCTGGCCCCTTAACAAATATGTATACTAGTTCAGTGATAATGGACGTCATACTAAACTCCAAATTATACACAAGAAACTAAAATTAAAAATGATACAAGACTAACAAAGGCCAGAGGCTCCTGACTTGGGACAGGCGCAAAAATGCGGCGAGGTTAAACATGTTTTTGAGATCTCAACCCTCCCCCTATACCTCTAGCCAATGTAGAAAAAACAAACGTACAACAGTACGCACAGTAAAACTCAGTTTAAGAGAAGTCCGAGCCCGATGTCAGAATAGGAAACAAAAGAAAATAAACAAAATGACAATAATACATAAATAACAACAGACTACTAGCAGTTACTGACATGCCAGCTCCAGACCTCAATTAAACTGGTTGAATGATTATGTCTTCATCATAAGAATATCAGGCACAATCCCAACTGTTAGGGGTTTAGTATTATACCGTCAAAAAATATATGAGAAGAACATAACAAGTTGAGATATATAAACACCATAAGTTGGTGACAAGGGAACATCACCATCTAAAAATGGATAATTAACAATAGGAAATGAAAAATCATCTCTTTTATCATAAATTTTTGTATTAAGCTTCCCGTTAATGATATAGATATCAAGATCGAGGAAAGGACTGTGGTCATTGTTAGTATTAGCTTATTTAAAGTAAGTTCAACAGGATAAATTTCTTTAGTATACATACTGAAGTTGTCATTATTGAGAGCCAATATATCATCCAAATATCTAAAAGTATTGTTAATTTTTTGTATCAGATGTTGTTTCGATGGGTCTTTGCTGATTTTAGTCATAAATTGTAACTCATAACAATACAAAAACAGATCCGCAATAAGTGGTGAACAGTTAGTCCCCATTGGAATTCCGATAACTTGACGATATACGGAATCGCCAAAGCGAACACAAATGTTATCAAGTAAAAATTCAAGGGCAGATATAGTATCAAAGCATGTCCAATTGACATAGCTCTTTTGTTTGTTGCTACTAAAAAATGACCTAAAAGAGTTTGAACATATGTATTCGCATTCCGACTTTTTAAATGCCAGTTTAATTAGGTGTGTGAATTTTTTCTTAATAAGAATATGAGGCAAAGTGGTATATAGGGTAGAAAAATCAAAACATTGAACAGATTCAAAATCACCAATATATGCATGCAACTTATCTAGTACTTCCAACGAGTTTTTGACACTCCAAAAGTAGTTAATTCCACTATTTTCAAAGGCCTTATTTGAACAATTTATTATCAGGTTTTTGGTTGTACCAAGTGTACTAGTAAGTAGAATAGACAATTTAGTAGTGGAACAATGACTTGAAGACGAAATAAATCTATATTTGTAAGGTGATTTGTGTAGCTTCGGAAGCCAGTACATAGTTGGGACTTTCATTGTATTTGGTTCTGCTTGTAAAGAAGTAGCTAATAGTTTATGTTTGTTACAGATATCGTTTTCTGAAAATGAAGTCAGTTGGAATGTTGGTGAATTCGTGATTTCCTTTTGCAGAATCTCAATGTAAAATTTACGTCAAACTATAATGATATTATTAGCAGCTTTATCAGCCGGGACAAAAACAAATTCCTTGGCTAGTTCTTTTAGTTTATGTTTGATACGAGAGATAGGATTTTTATGGTTGTTGTTAAGAGTAAAATGTTCTTTAAAATGTTGTATACGTATATCAACTATCTTCATTACTGAATTAAAAAAAGAGTCCAAAGATTTTTTGTCAGCTTTTACAAAACAGTTTAACTTTTTCAAAACAGTTTAACTAATCTTTTGCTGCCTCTGTCAGGCACTACTGAATTTCTTTACAAACACCTTTAACTTCATAGAGAGCTGGGATGTACATGACTAATTCATCACTCATATTTTCCATAATCCACTGCCTGCATATCACTTCAGATAGGCAATATCCATCCAAAAATACCCTGTAGTTTGCTAGTTATTGAGTCGGTGCTGATGTAACACTGCTCTAGGCATTTAACATCATTTGAGTCACCTATAACTGTTTTTGAGCTTACATTTTGAAAATCACAGGGTGAGGTGGGTTATAACTACTCATTGGCCTTACCATCAATTGTACGTTCTAAAATGTAAAATAAACAGTGTATGAGTAAATAATTTATTAACCATGTCGATATTACTAAAGAATTATAAATTCTTATTCTTTTTTGGCAATTCCATTTAAGTCGTCATCATTATTAGAGATTTTTTTTTTGAATCTATGCAATATTTCAGAAGTTGTTACAGATTAATTTTTACTGTTTTTACTTTTTAATTGTTAAAGGGTGGACTGTTTTCAAGTAAGAAGTTCTCCGATTCTACAATGTATAGCTTTCAAAAAAAGTCAGATTACAGCAAATTATCATCACTGTTTTAGACAACATTGTGTCTTTAAACAAGTGTAAAGAGACTAAAATAAATTGACTGAAGTCAACTCAGAAATCTAATGACTATTTGCTAAATATATATTCTTCAAGTCCCGAAGACCTCTTTTCAGAAAATGTTTAGGGATTTTTTCATTGGAACTACAATTTACAAATGTGCATTCCCAAAAGTGTGAGTAATCGTCGAACTGCATTTTGCTTTATATTCACACAGTGACAATATGTGCTATGTGTTTTTTTTTATTTTTTTTTTACTTTAAATGTTTCCCATCTGACGGTTGTGAACGTGCATATACCAACTATGAAAGACACAAAGAAATAGGATCATTTTCGTGTATTCTCACAAAGAACCTGCTTATTTCGTTAAAATGAATTGTGGCATAACATGTATACTTCCATTTACTTCAACAAGGATTTGTATACAACTCCTTGACTTCAATGTGTCTGGTCAGAGGAGGAAATTTTTCATTGAAATCCTTAGACAAGAAATGATTAAGTTCGTAATTTGTTATTAAGATTGCAAAACATACCTATTAAATCAAGTTGTGATGATAATGTTTTTCAGTGATGCTTCTTCTGGATGTTTTATTCAAAACAGGCGCTTATTAGTATTAACTTATTTACATTGGTTAAAAAATAAATCCAAATGTCGTTCAGAAAAGGATATATATATAAAATTTCGAACATTTCCAAGTTTCCAAATATGCCCCTGAGACATGATTCAAGGTTCCTTTTTCTCAACTATAATTTGCTTATGTGGATGCGGCTAAAAGACATTTGTCGTCAATTTCTGATAATAAACATCATTAATCATCGTCTGGTGGAGTCAAGTGTTCAAATTCAGAACACTGTTCTTGAACATGTGTGTTAAAAGACTGAACACAATGTGTTATATATTTTAACGCTTGCGACGAAAGTGGAACACTGGTGTCATAAACCGAACATATTGTGTTCAAAATTGGAATTGTGTTCAAGACGCGTCAGGCGTCCGCAAAATTTACAGTGAACACGTCGGCTGAGTAAATATAATATGATACAATGATGCTATTTATAGATGTTCGATCGTGAACAGATGAATTGTACAAAAAACATGAGTTAAACAATTGTGTAAAAGGAAGAAATAGAGGTTTTGATAGACGGGGCATTTGATTTTTTTTTTAGTAAAAATGAAAAATTGTAAAAAGAAAATGTGCAAAATTTATAGAAAATGGAAAAGTGGAAGGACACAGATAATTTTAATGTCTCTTATCTATACTAATAAAGGAAGAGACCGATTTCATTGAGCCGCAATTCCTCTGAAACCACACAAAGTCGGAAACATTTGTGATATGACGTATAAATGTAGTGTTTTGTACTTCTTAAATTTGTCTTTGAAACAATCTTTTTTCCACAGAAAACGCCAATTTTTGAGAAAATATCCAAATTCGGAGACCGTTATCAATCCGTGTCTTATACGCTTTCGCGCATGCTCAGTCGACGTACTATCCGCGAAATCCAAGTGAAAGTAAGGAGAAAGGATAGAAAAAAGGACAGTTAGGCCTATAATGATCATGTATTGTATTGTTAGTGCATCATTTTGCTAAATTTAACGACATCCACCCTTTTTACTCAGATGCAGAACTGTCCAAAAATGAAATGGGCGTTGATCGTGTCGAAGTGATCCTCCCCCCACCCCACCCCCTTTTATGTGTAAACACAGACACCCGACGTCCGGACCCCTGCCCCCTTTTTTATGTGTAAACACAGGCACCCTTGACACTCTTTGTTTCAACACTTGCCCAATTCTACCGCGATTTCGCGGGCATCTTCTAGTTGTGTCTAATATTAACGAAGATGAAAGGGAAAGGATTTTATGAATTTCTATCAGGTCGTACATGCATACCTCTGCATTTGAAAGAAAGTAGTGTGCTTTCGGAATTTAATAAATAAGTTATGAAATACTACTAAACATTTACAAAAAAATGCATACATAATGCGATCAATATACGTTGAATAAAATCTGAATTTACCAAGAGCCATTTTTTTTTGGTTATTCGAACGCTCTAATTAAAATCGGAATTCAGTCTTATATTGACCAATATTGAAATTCTTACAAGAAAAGAATCTATAAATCAATTTGTGTATTCTATGAAATATCTGTCTCCTTTTGCTTATCGACCATGACCATAAAAACTACAACCTCATTTTTATTTAAGTCATGTTTTATAACCCTGAATGTTATGGTGATTTCGTTTACTCGTATTCGTTTTTTTTTTCTTCAGTAATATTGTATATAAGCCAATCAATGAGCTAAATAAAAAAAAGTATATACATGTACTTACGGAAATCAAATTTGTAAATAATAAAAGATACATACTTTTCCTAATTCGATAAAGATTTCAGCTTTTATAAACATTGTAGTAAACGCCATCGTCATAAGTCATTCCTTTTCATAAATAATATTTATATTTCTTATGTCTCACTAATATCTGCTTCGAGGATGAAGTAGGATTTTTTGGGTAAATATATGTAAAACCGTTAATAATTGCTGTCACTGAATAATTTCTGAGCATATCCTTTTGTACAACCATTTTTTCAAACATTTTTTGTTCTAAAAAAAAACCCAATTGATTTCTTTAAGTCATACACAATACTTTTCGTATCTTTTCCCATTAATCATCTATATATACAGATCATTTTTACGAAACCATCGGATCGTTATAAAAAATAAAGGCAACAGTAGTATACCGCTGTTCGAAACTCATAAATCGATAGAGATAAAAACAAATCCGGGTTACAAACTAAAACTAAGGGAAACGCATCAAATATAAGAGGAGAACAACGACACAACAAACACACAACATTAAAATGTAACACACACAGAAACGAACTATAATATAACAATGGCCATTTTCCTGACTTGGTACAGGACATTTTAAGAATAAAATGGTGGGTTGAACCTGGTTTTGTTGCATGCCAAACCTCCCGCTTTTATTGCAACGTCAAACACAACACCAAAACGACAACATCACATGACAGGACCACAATACAAATAAATGGGAGAACATATAGGACAAAGAAACACACGAATAATAGCTAGCAGAAGGTACTAGGCTTACAATTCAATACACCAGACGCGCGTCTCGCCCACACAAGACCAACCAGTGACGCCCAGACAAAAAAAGCTTGAAAGCCAAAACAAGCACAATGCCGAAGAGCACCGAGGACCAAACTTCCAAAAAGTTGCGCCCAACACGGACAGGATTTTCTGCCTGGGACAAGAACATCCTTATTATTTAGAATAATTTATAATTTTGCAAACAGTAAATTTTGTAAAATGACTATATAATAGATATACATGATAAAACCAAAGTGGGGACTAACTACAGAATAAAAACGGATACATTACTTAAAACAACTTAATCCAACATATAAAAATACACAGCCGAGTTAGCTAAAGCCTCAACGCACAAAGTGATGTCACATTTGAAATTCTAAAAAAAAACACACAAAGTGACGTCACATATGAATTTGTAAATATATTTCCCAAAAACAAGATAGGACCAGGATTGACCCAAGACCAGATCTGAAATACTGCCGTTACATTTATTAATAACAATGAAAATTACAATACTTATTAATATCAAATTGTGGTAGTAATTAGATAACTAATAGTATCATCCAGCTATGTCGGTGTTTCCTCCGAATCGAACCGTAAACCAAATATATCGTATAAATTTCGTTGAACCAAACTAAAATCTAATAAATGAAGGGGGTGATTAATTATCTATACCATAACACACGAATATAACAGAAAATACGTTAAGACATTTGACAAAATCCGACGAGAACAACAAATATAACATCAAAATTAAATACATGAATTTGGGATAGAAAGGTACCGTGACACGTCTTATAGCAATGCGGTTTCACACTCAGCAAAACAATCACAATCGGGAATAAGTCACGTTCGGTAATTAAAAGATCAGACGACGTAATGACAAACCACAATCTAACACGTGGTAAAAATGTCCTTAGTTAGTTTTGACAAAGACACATCGTATGGATCAACCAATTGGTGATGGTGTCCGTAAAATTTACGGAGTGTCATTTTTAATCTGTCCTCCTCATAACTTTGTTGGAGCAGTTTCTGCGTAAGGAGCACACTCCTGTATATGAAGTCCGTATAGTGTGAACAAGCACGAGAATAACGTATCAATTGAGATATGTAAACACCATACGAAGGGGCAGAAGGTATGTTACTGCTGAGAAATGGGAAATTGATAATTGGGAAGTTGAAATCGTCCCGTTTATCATAGATTTTCGTGTGAAGTCGTCCATCTGTATCAATATTGAGGAAAAGATCAAGGTATGAAGCAGTCCTTCTAGTATCAGTAGTATCCTTAATTTCAAGTTCACTGGGATATATGAGACGTAAGTATTGGCTGAAATATGGGTTATTCAATGATAGAACATCATCAATATATCGAAAAGTAAAATTAAAGAATTTCGCAAGGTGCTTTTTCTTTTTGTCTTTTAGAAGGTTCTGAATGAATTCTGCTTCATACGAGTACAAAAACAAATTGGCCAGTAGGGGTGCACAATTAGTTCCCATTGGAATACCGACTGTCTGTTGAAATATAAATCCTCCAAACTAAACAAATATATTGTCGATCAAAAAGTCCAGCATTTTGATAATATGATCTTCAGTATATTTTCTGGTAGATTCAGTGTGGTTTTTCACAAAATATGAATTATTGTAACCCAAAACAAGAAATTTGTATCTACGATTCCCATTTTTATAGGAAAAGCTCTGTTTAATGAGATGGTGAAGTCGTTCTTTCAACTGAGCATGGGGAAAAATATTCCAGGCTTAGTTTGAGAACCTCTTAAACGTGTCAACACAACACTTAAAGTAAGTAAAAACAAGAATGTGTCCATAATACACGGATGCCCCACTCGCACTATCATTTTCTGTGTTCAATAGACCTTGAAATTGGGGTCAAAACTCTAATTTGGTATTAAAAAGATCATATCATAGGAAACATGTGTACTAAGTTTCAAGTTGATTGGACTTCAACTTCATCAAAAACTACATTGACTAAAAACTTTAACCTGACACGGGACAGACGCACGGACGAACGAACGGACGAAAAAACGAACGAACGAAAGAACGGACGCACAGACCAGAAAACATAATGCCTTTACTACTATCGTAGAAGGGGCATAAAAAAATTCGGACGCCCCAAGTTTAAAAAATGGTGTTGCATTAGTGACAGAATTTTTTAAATTGCATATCAAACTACCCATCAGTATCTAAATGGCATCCTTATTTAAAATTAGTTTACTCTCTTTGATACTAACAGTTTATATAAAAAAATCATTACATTTTTTCATAAATCATTTAAAATATAGTTGTATTTCATATAGTACTCACTTATAGGTAGTTACTATGTTGCATCGATCAATCCCTAAACCATATGATAAACCGATATACACACAGACAAGAAATACGAGGATTCCTTGTGAAGTCATCGTTAATTACATTTGCAAGTGAAAAGGCGCAACACGTTTTATACTAAAAATGATAAATATTTTGGGACACTTAGCTGTAACCGGAGGTTTCCAAATATGCCGGTCATTTATCGTAAGCAATAAAACGTTTGATCATTTCCTTTACTTATTGAAATTATGAATTGTCGTGACATGTATTGGAAGATACAAATTTTATACAAAATGAAAAGAACTAAAAATACATGTTGAAAAGTCAAAAGGTTGGAAATTTACGTAACTTACACGGTGAAGCATTTATGTATAGAGTACTAAATAACACGTTGATATTTAACCATAGAAAGATGATATTATTGTAAAGTGACAAATGTTTTAGCCATGGCGTTTTCAGTTTATTTTCCACTTATGATTTTGAATGTCCCTTTGGATCTTTCGCCCATCTTTTGTGTTTTAGTCTTATTCGAAAAGCTCTTTTTGGGAAATTAGATTAATGGTGTAACTTAGTTTAACATCATCGAGACATCACAATTACCAGTTGACTGTTATTCCACGGTGGTATTTTTCGGCTAGTGGTCAGCTAAGATAAAATGAAAGACTGCATGTACATAATTAAACAAATATTTACTCGTGCAAACTTGAAATTAAATGATTTGTCTTTTTTGTTGTATTCATATTCCTTACTTTTTGACATGTGACCATGAACCTGTTTGTGTTCAATCCAGAAAACTGAATGTCAACAGGATATATTGGTATTCAATGTCAACAGGATATATTGGTATTCAATGTCAACAGGATATATTGGTATTCACATTGTGACAAATCCTTCTAATGTTAGACAATTGATTAGATACATTTGGTTGAAATTCAGATTTCAGATAGTGTGTGATAGATTAAAACTTGCCAGTAAAGAATTACCTTAAAATAATTTTTACTTTTCAGTTATGGTTTTAAATTTTGTTTAACAGACCAGTTTGAGCTTCCTTATTGGTTTTTCGTGATTCAAAGTTATTCTACATCAATATGATTTCTTTCAAAATCTTAGTGACTACAAGCGTAACAGAAAAAAGTATTCGAGTGCAGTTGAATAAAACTAGCAGTAAATAAAGTATTCAGTCTGAAAATTTGATTTGACCACTTGCAGTCACAAGTGTAGCACAGGATGTATACACTTCGAAAGTATGTTCATTCAATGTATTAACTTGAACATTAACCTCGTTTTGTTACGCCCATTTGCTCCATGGTACTAGTACTTGTTATCCGTTCACTAGGAGTTATTACAGAGCTATTTTATTTGAAACTTTTTTCAGTTCGTGTGTTGTCCTCTGGTTTTCAATAGTTGGTTAGGCACCTTCCATCCTTTATTAAGTACAGTTTTGTAGATATTTGATCAGTGATAGATATGAGTCACTTAATTTGGAATACACACTTTTTGTATAATACATATCTCTCTAAGACAGGGATATTGACTTAATGGAGTCAAAATTAAACATAAACGGTTGAATAGACCTGTTACGCTTGTAGTCACTAAGATTTTGAAAGAAATCATATTTATGTAGAATAACTTTCCCATCTGATCGAAGGATTTGTATATAAATCCTTGACTTCAATGTGACTGGTCAGAGGAGGACATTTTTCGATCATTTTATATTTGATTTACTGTAAGTCCAAAATAATTAATCAATCATGTCCTTAAGTAACCTATATCTAATTTGTTGTTTTCATACAAAATTTAGTTGTGACATCAGTAAATTATCACATTTAGTAAGCTGCTTATAAACTGTATATCTGTATAGCTGTAAAATGTAAAGCCGTTGAGATGCATTTTAACCGTGCATACCATAGATTAATTGTATCCAAATATTAATCGATGACAAGTTTATATCAGTTTTTACTTAACAATCTGTTTACTCTGCCATGATACCACAGGGTAAGATTTATTGTATCCATACATTATGTGATGACAAGTTTATATCAGTTGTTACTCACTGTGATTTTAATTCATCTTTATCAAAGGGTTCTAACACATTAAAGTAAAGTTTGACATCAGGTTTGAACTGTGGGAATACAACTGGTGTAGGTCCTGTAAACAAGTTCATTCCAAAAATACCAAACTCCATAGTTTATATTTTGTTATATAAAGAACATTATTATTACATAGATGAAAAACTCAAATGTTGTATGTTAAGTCCTTTTTCAGTACATTTGTGAGTCACCTAGTAACCAAGAAGCTTTTACCGGTATCAACCTGTTAACCTGTTTCAAGACGGTGTTAACCTATTTCAAGACGTCAAGCATGAACTCTTCACCAGAACAACATAATTCTGCAAGTGTTGATGATAATTATTAACACTTTTTGACAGCAGCTGATGTTATTAATGATTTACATAGTTTTGTAAGTGATGATGAACAAAATAATAAAAAAAAATCACACTTTTTACAACCATTGAAGAGATTTTGTACCCAAATTGTGTTTTTTCTTCATTTTATTATTTTTAGGTTTTTAATTATACCCCATGCCAATTTACTGTTCTGATCTGTCAATCAGTCTGTCTGTCCCCTTGTCGATTTTTATAACTTTTGTTGTCACCATGCTAGTGCCTACACTTTTTTGTTAGATCCTCTTCTTAGGAGTAAGTTCACAAAGGGTTAAAAATGGACATAAGATTTTAAGTTTTTTAATCAGGTCAAAATACTTAAAATTTCACATAGAAATAGTTGTGATATATCCATTAATACAAAATAACTTCTTTTAAGGCACATCCCATTTAAAATGACGAAGTAATGATGCCTCAAGTATGCTAGTAAGCCTAGAATCCAATCCAATGAAGAAGAAAATGATTAACCTAGAAGTAAGACTTTTGAAATAGATCCGTTTAAGAACCAAGTTATGGCCATTTTGGAATTTTATGATAATAAATCATATTGGGCCTAAAGTGAATATTGTCCTTTTTTGAAAGTTTCCAAAAATTAAAACCTTCGATGAGTTTATATAGATTCCACCACTGCATCAAGTGTGTAACGATATTTCTCCACCCGAGACAGGGAAAAATTTAAATTTAAAACACAAGGCTTGCCAAGCTTTTTAAATATTTAAAATTTAACTGTTGAGAGTGGAAAAATATCATTATACACAAGATGTAGTGGTGTAATCTGTTTCTCTAATGATTTTAAGAGAATATCTAAACAGAAATTATCCTTCCTTTTCAAAGATTTGTAGAAAGTTGTGTTCTTCATATGTGACGTCATCAGGCACTGTCGCCTCTTTTTATGACGTCATAATAGGAAATTCAGAAGAAACAAAGAAAATTTGACATCATAATTGAATTTCGACCATTCATTAGCCGAGAACAAAGTTTAATCTAGAGATGAGAAATATTTTTTTTACACCAAAATTTGAGAATAGCATGAAAATGAGAGAATTAAAATTTTAAGTTGGGGAATATCTAATCAGGAAAGGAATTAACAATATTCAATACTAATTATGCAGGGATTTGGGTCATGTGAGCTTTCTACGTAATGTTCTTTCATTTCACTTATTCTACTAGGAATATTATTTGTAATCTCTTTGAATACAAACTTTAATTTCTACATCATAATTACAATTCAACTATAAAAAAGTAGCATAATCGTAATATCAAAATTTAAAAGTTCTTGCATATTCGGAATGATTGGTTTTGAAGTTCCCATTGAATGAACTCAACAGAGAACAATAACTAATGTATTTATCTTATGGGACAACTCAACGTGCAAAAATTTGAATACCTAAATGAACAGGTACTGATTCTTGGGAAAGATCTTATTTCATTTGCAATAAACATTTTCTCCATGTTGTGAACAGTTCAATATGCTTGAATAATAAACGTTCTGATACATCTGCTGGAATGCAATACACATAAAGATAGTCTTTGTTTAACTTGAAATAGGTTAACAAGGTAATTAAACGAAACAGCAATATGAATATATTCCTTAAGTTAAATAACAAAATTGTTATTACATGAAGAAAAAAGAGACAAAGATCAATAAAAACATAGAAACTTCTCTGATGATAGTGTGAATTGTTTAGTGTGAAACTCACACTTTATTTTTAATAGTTCTATAAAATTATTTTTAAGTTCATATAGCAGGAATCGTAATTTCCTGTAAGAATTTTTCCGTAGTGCAAGTGTACTACATGTATGTTCGTTTAGTTTTGTAAAATCAGAGTACAAAGAAAAACAAAGAACAAACAAAATTTCAATAGTTAAAAGTAGCTGTAGTAACTGCGTACATCATGTAGCTTGTGCATATATATTGGTAAGATAGTGGGAAAAAAAATCTTAGAGTCAAATAAGCTCAAATGTTATATTACTTCGCAAGAAATAATGTATGAATTGGACAATAATTTGGATGGACTGCATTTCAATTGTTTTAAAAGATAACAAGACAAAAGAGAAGAGTCAAGTTTTACCACCAAAAAGTATAACTATTCATTAACTATTTTTGCCGAGTAAAATTTTCTTTGGATGCATTAGATAAATTACATGCTTCCGATGGTCCTTTTGATTAAATTGACATTTTTGACTTTTGACTCTTTATACTACATTTCCACTCGAACTTATCAAACAAAAGTTTTCTTAAGGTTTTTGTAGAATAATCTGATTGCAAATTTATTTTCTGCAACTCATATAAAGCCGTTTTCTATAACGAGAAAGGTATAGATACTAGATATACTTACTGGAGGTGTGATGAGATGATTTAGGCTGTAATGTTTCTCCTTGACAACATTTATGTACGTTTCAGTAATAAAGTTTATCAACAGGTTGTTGGCATACCCTTTAATAGCACACCTGTTCCTGTACTGTTATCAATCACAATTTATGACCAAACTTAGTAAAGATAGATTCAACAACACTTACTGTTATCTTGATGATATTTTTTCTTTAAATAATCAAGAGTTCTCTATTATATACTGCAGAAATTTGCCCAAAGGAACTTACTTTAAGTATATCAAATTTTAACAGGAATAACTGTCCTTTCCTAAATTTAGATATTTCAGCTACAAAAGGGACAATTTTTC